TTTATATACTGACTTTGAATCTCATTTGAAAATAGAGAGAAAAAAATTTTTTTGAAAAAAGAAAAATCAGTATTCTGATATACTTTAAATCAACAGCTTGGCATTACTACACAGTCAGTCAGTTACAAATGTATGTATGGATTATGGGCAAGGATCTAAGAATAAGGTCATTGTGTCAGAAAATTACTGGCTAAATAGTTTGGATATTTTAATTTCAAATCAGTCTCCTTTTAAGTGTCTGTTTCATGAATCTGAAAAAAAAAAAAAAGGGTATTTTTACAAGCCTATTTCAATATTGGCCCTGTCATTGTCCCATCTTAACTCATGCATGAGGATTTTTAAATTGTTGTTACAGGACCAGCAGAGGGAGCACAAAACATTAGGTACCAACACTGCTTCTAGAAAGGTATGCCAGGAAAAACATCCTCACTTTTCACATGACTGGATAACAATACCTGACAGGTTTAGCAAATAAATGACAGGAAATGAAAGGGAATATAGTTACTGGAAGCTAAGCAAAGCTGTCACTGACACCATTTTATTTTTGAATATGCTTTGCCTTTGTTGTCTTAAGAAAAAGGCATCATCAAAGCAACAGAATTGGATCTGGTACTAATTACAAGATTATTTCTGGGATGCAAGAAACTGCACCAAAAAAAAGGAAAACTAGTTAAAAATACAGGATTTTTTAAGTTTGGTGTCTCCATGACAAAACACTGATATATGGTCAAGCGTAAGTTTCTTTCATTCTGTGCCATTCCCTGTCAGATTAGCTAGCTCATATGTTGCTTATATGGTGGTAGCTTCCACTAATTACAGTAATTCTGCAATTACTAGCAGATGCTTAGATGGTCATTTTGGCACCATCAATTCAACATCACTGAATAAATTACCATAGTCTGTACCTATCTATATTAAAAATAGGATTTCCTGGTATTACAGTTGTTTCCTGTGCAAAGAAAACAAGACAATAGTTGCTGTTCAGTGATTTCAAAAACATTTGGATTCTGTTGTGAAATCAAGATACTTTGACAATACAGTTTCTTCTAGTGTAAAGTTTGTCAAAATGTTTTCCAAGAAGCCAAATAAAGTCATTTGTCCTGACTGCCCACATGGTCATGTATTTTTAAATGGGATGTTAGATACCTAGAAAATATCTGTGATGAAAACAATAATTTACTAAGACCACCATTACTCTAATGTTACTGGAAAGCCTTCCTCACTGAGATCTGGGTGAAATTCACTTGCCAGCTAGCTGAAGTATCAGACATGCAGGCAACATCAGGAGGAAGTGTCACAGTTTGAGCTCAGAGGGCACCTGAGCACCAGGCAGCTGCTCACCCCAACTTCCCCCCCTCAAAGCGCTGAGAAAGAGAAAATGGAGCAAAAAGCTCAGGGATTGAGATAAAGGCAGGGAGGGATGACTCACCCATTAAGGTCAAGGGTGAAAGACAGACTCATTAGGGGAACAAAAAAACCCATTAAATTAATTCAGACATTAACAACAACACTTAACAGAGTAGGACAGTGAGAAGCATTAGCGCATCTTAAAAACACCTTTCCCCCACCCCTCCCTTCTTCCCAGGCTCAGCTTTGCTTCTGATATCTCTACCTCCTTCCCCCTAACAGGGCAGGGAACAGGGGATGCAGTTAGTCCCCCCAGCTCTTTCTTCTCAGGGTAGGGGGTGCTGAGGAACTCCTTGCAATCTTCCCCTGCTCCAGCATGGCCCCCTCTCACAGGAGACAGTCTTCCACATACCTTCTCTGACTCGAGTCCCTCCCACGGGCTGCAGCTGTTCCCAGCTCCAGCGTGGGTCACCCCCCATGCTGCAATCCTCCCAGTGCTGAACTACAACAGCGGGGGCTGCTGCTTCCCACAGGATCCCGACTGCCTTCAGACACAGTCACCTGAGACAACGTGGGCTCCTTCACAGACCGCAGGTCGGCATCTGCTCCACCGTAGACCTCCACGGCAGGAGCGGGGCAGCCTTGCTGCCTCATCACACGCTGCATGGGGGATTCTGCACTGGTGCGCCTCACTCCCCTGCGTCCTCTTCCTTCCTTTCTTCCATTGACCTCGGTGTTTGGCCAGAGGTGGGTCTGACTTGGAGCTGGGGAAGCTTCGAGAAGCTTCTCAAAGGGGGCCACTGCTGTAGCCCCCTCCCCTCTACCAAAAACCCCACCACTCACTCAAACCCAGCACAGGAAGGAATTCTGCAAAGACCAACTGCTTTCTACTACTTTGCTCTGTGTTTATTATTAAAAAAAAAAAAAAAAGGAAAAAAAAAAAAAGAAAAAAAACCACCCCAAAAGCCTTATTTCACTTGTTAAATGTTTTGCAATACTGTCCAAAAAGAGAGAATCACAGTATCAGAGAAGGGTTGAGGTTGGAAGGCAACTCTGGAGAGCATCTGGTCCAACCCCCCCTGCTCGAGCAGGGCCACCTGCAGCAGGTTGCCCAGGACTGTGCCCAGATGACTTGAATATCTCCAAGGATGGAGACTCCACCACCTCTCTGGGCAACCTGTGCCAGTGCTCGGTCACCCTCACAGTAAAAAAGTGTTTCCCGGTGTTCAGAGGGAACCTCCTGTGTTTTGCCTTGTGCCCACTGCCTCTGGTCCTGCTGCTGGGCACCACTGAGAAGAGCCTGGCTCCGTCCTCTTTGCACCCTCCCTTCAGGTATTTATAGACATGGATAAGATCCCCCTGAGCCGTCTCCTCTCCAGGCTGAACAGCCCCGGCTCTCCCAGCCTTTCCTCACAGGAGAGATGCTCCAGTCCCTTCATCATCTTCGTGGCCCTTCACTGGGCTCTCTCCGGTGTGCCCGTGTCTCTCTTGTGCTGGGGAGCCCAGAACTGGACACAGAGCTCCAGGTGTGGCCTCACCAGCACTGAATAAAGGCAGGTCATTAGTCATCAATCCCTAAGGCAGGCCCCAACACTTACCCACATCCCCAGTACGCCCCAAGACTAACCTACATTTCTTCATTTACATCAAATGTTCTATTACCAGGTACTACTGTACCAATGAATTTCATCTTAACTGAAAATCATCACTGGTACACATTCAAAAAAATACTTGCACTGATAGGAAGACTAAAACATAGCCATCAACTTCAGTTCCTCCTCTGCAGACCTCTTCTGATTTCCCCTACCCAGAAGACATTAAATTCCTCGTAAAGTGAGAAATAATCCTACTGTTATGCATCTTCAGATTTTTTTTCTTTGAAGTAAAGTCCCAATGTCAAACAGCAGTACATAACACTTATAAACATGCCAAATACCTCAGAACAAAGTACAGTCAAGTGCTAATGGCACTGCACAATTTCCAATATCCCATATTTACGACTGAAGGCATTCTCTGCTGACTTTATCTGTACATTTAGCCAGATTTCAGCATCAAGAATATGATTCTGAAATAAAATATCTAAAAACAACACTAATGATGAAATCCATTCCAAAAGCAGAAGTCATGGGAAAGGCACAGCATGTGTGACCCAATATGCAAAATCATTACCAGATGCTGGTTTCCTTTCAACTAACAATCCCATGACAGGAAACTTCTGCTTCACTGCTCCTCCTCACACTGAATCTTAAAGCTGATTATATTACACACATTCCACAATATCAACATTGGTTAAATGCTTTTAGTTCGTGATTTTTACCATCAATACTGACAAATCCAACTCTACAGTGTCCACTTGAAAGTATTCAATTGTTAATAGGGCTGTATCTTGTCTCACTGAATAATTTCAGTGAAGAGAGTCAAATACAGCTCCTCCCCAGACTTCTTCCACAGCAAATAAAGAAGCTCAGCTTTCTATTGTTACAAATATTTTGATGAAGGAAAAAGAAAAACACTTCAAAGGTCTTATTCTTTTGAAAGACTTTGGAAATTGAAAAGACATTTAAATGAAGTTCCTCCATGCACTGTAATAAACTGCTCTTAGAAGGTGAACTGTAAAAATTCTGTCAAATTATTTTTCTAGTATTTCTGGATACATCTGAAACATATCAGAATGAGATTGCCTCAGGTATTTAGGATACTAATTTTCCTGTTTAAGTATTAGATATTGTATAAATCAAATTAGTATTTCCATCTTACAGTTGTAGGTTTGCTTCTTCTGGCTACCTTGAAAAAAAATGATACAAGATTTTCTGTAACCCATCCTTATAACCAAACTTCAAGCATACATATATATCCATTACCGCTCATCTGGTTCTACATTCTGAAGAAAAACTTGAATTGTCTGCAAATTCTGAATTCTGCCTATTTCAGAAACATTAACTGTAGGCTGCTTTGCCATCATCTGAAATTTGACAGTGAAATCCTTCACATTAAATACCTTTCTTCCAGAGTGCTGAGACTGCAGGAGGCAAATAAAATCCTGTGTCATAGAAAACAGTTATCAAAATAATAGCCCACAGCTGCTGAAATATCAGATGAAAAATTCTCCTTACATGAGCAGGGAAAAACAAAACTAAAACCACCACACCTTGCTTCAGTAAATGCGCTTAGAGTAGCTTCACTTTTGAAAATCCCCAAAATTAAAGTACGTCCCCAAACTCTACTGTAGAAGTAGGTCACAAAGAAGAAAGCCAGACTGAAATCAAAGTCGTACAAAAGAAAAAACATCCAAGGAGGCCAGCTACAGCATAAATCACCAAGCTGAACAGCTGCATAAACAAGTTGCATCCTCATAGCAAACTTAGATTATACTGAAGATACTACACAAATACAGACAACTTCATCCTCTCTTTCATTTACGTATCTCAGAAGAATTCACAGATATAAGCTATTTACCAAAGACCATGATGACTGGAATGCTCACGTTCAGTATTCTCATTTTAAGCTCCAATTCAGAAAATGAATTAGCACTTTCTTTTCCATTTGTGTGAATCACACAACACTTCACACAAGTCCTAATTAAATTTATATATTATATGCTTCACACTGGTTTTTTTAGGAAGGACACTAACTGAAGACTCATCGAAACTTCCTAAGTATCCATGGTATAGCTTCAATGTTACTACATCAAAAATACATGCAATGAAAAAAGGGATAAAGTAGTAAATGTGCAAAATTTATTATGTTCTTCAATGAACACAGGGACATAAAATTTATAAAATTAGATCACATCTTCAAAATAAAAAAAAAATATATATATATAACACCAACAGTTACTTGTTACAATAAACAGCTGTCCACATGAAGCTCAAATCCGGTTTACTCTAGATCAATTTCTTCATAAAAAATAAGCTACTTTTAAAAATTACTTCATAAGAAAGTGGTATGCAAATAGAGACATTATTGCAGCATATCCTTATAATTTGTACAAAGAGAAGTCTGTTGGCAAAATGAAGCAGCTGAGAAAGCTCTGAATAACAGGCATCCCTACCGTTTGTTAAAAGGCATTTTCTAAATTCATCCTGGGTCCTTCTAATTACAGAAATAAGTTTCTTCCTTGATAAAAGAGATTCACATTTCTAAACACAATTCAATTACAAGTAAGTATTTTACACTTCTGGTTATCTAGCCATGGGAAAAAAATAATCAAGATTATGCTTTAAACATGACATTAAAGTAACAGTATTATTTAGTTTCTTCTTGCAGTGTACATTTGGCTGGGACATTTGTTGCTTTTTATACTAAATGCAGTGCAAAACAATTTGATTCAAGCTCTATTTACAAAGAGCTTCTGCTACGCAATTTTTCTTTATAGTAAAGTGAAGTGAACCTCCTTCCTGCCTTTTCCCCTCCCCGTACTTGCCCAGATTACCGAGTCCTGTGGGAGAAGAGCATCCTGATGCAGAGACACAGAGACACGAACAAGCAAGCGGGCACTGGGCAGATCCCACAGCCACGGCCACAAGGAATTCTGCAAGGAGGCTCAGAGCCGCCACCTCAGCGTTGGTCTCTTTGGATCTTTTGCTCCAGACCTGCTGAGCCAAAAAGCACTGTCCCTGAGAGGGCTCGAAGAGAATGACAGAAAAGTTCTTTAATTGCATCAGGCAATTTCCTTCTGCCTGTGTAAACATCATAACACTCAACACTGGAATTTAAGGCTTCTGTCACAGTACACACTGGCATTCAAAACCTCTAAGGTAGCAAGGAATTCTTCTGAAACAGAGTAGGCTTTCATTGAGGTTATCAGGTTCAAGTATATAAAGTGTACAGATCTGCTCCTCTTTATGCAGATGGTATTCTTTCTATCACATGATGAAAAGTCAATCACAATGGTGTTAAGGTACGAGGAGTCAACTGTGTTTTGACGTCAGTCAGCTTGCAGCAGACAGGGTATGCAAATTCCCACTAACAAAGTGCAGATTTGGAAACCTGAAGATAAAGATCCCAAAGCCAGACTGTCTTCCTTAGGCTGCGACTTTCATAATAAAAAAAGTTTTAAGTGTTTATTATGCTTCCAGTCCCATGTATGAATTTTATTTTCTTAAAAGTTACACTATTTCATTTTCTAACATTTCTTCTGACACTTTGCTCCCTGAAGTATCGTCATCGTTAGAATAATTTCCTGAATCTCGACTGCTCTCTTTAGAATGCTTGTAGTCTTTAAAATCAACTTGATTTACTTCTGTGATGACAGTCTCAATTACATAACAATTCTCTATCAGTTCTTCTGTAGTTGACAGATAAGGACTGCTAAAGAGCTGTCCTCCAAAACCCTGCAAAAAAAGAAGCAGACAAGAAAGAGATTAACATTCATACATAATACCCAAATAATGATTCCACTGAACACCACAGCTGTACAAATCTGGTTTATTGTATGCAGTAGCATCATGAGGTTTTCTACCTATAACATGCCATTTGTTTCCCCAAGTTCACAAACTCAATGTTAAGATGAAGTTTAGTTGCATTCATATAATTGAACACTAACAAATTAACATTAATGTTAACTTTTTTGCTATACTCATAGTTGTCAATCATCTATATAACTGCAATACTTAATTGATTATAGACTTATGAGGCCACACAAGAACAAAATGGAAAATCCTGATTTTGAACACTTGCACAGAGCATGTGGTAGCACAGGGATGACAGGTGTGTGTTTGAAGTCTACAAATCATTGTCAGTTATAAAGCAAAGTTTGAAAGAAGACAGAGAAAACGAGCTGCTGCAGCAGGATACCAAGCCCTGTACAGCTCTCAACAATGCACTGCGATCTATCCTACACACTTTAAATCTATTCTCTGAAGTGGTCATTTAAATCGAACCCATCACAAAAGGTTCTAAATATGCACTGCATTAATTATGTTGCCAGTATTCTACTGAACAAACCAGCTAAAATGCTGCCCTACAAATAAATTAAATTCAGATTAGCCCTTGTAAATTGTGAGACTGGTTTTAAATTACAAATTTATTCAGAAAGCTTTGTATACTATACATCCTAAGAGCTTCAGTGAGAACATGACACACGTTAGAAGGCCACACACTGCTCAATATCAGGGTTCTGAGAGACATGGAAGAAAGCACAGTGAAAAACAGCTCTTGCTACATTTCAAATTATACCAACATTTACGTGTTGCCCTGTTCATTCCAGAACAGGATCCCTCCTAAGTACTACCCGTGCCAAGCTGAGCTGGAAATTGGACAGTATCGGCCTTTTTAGAGACCAGCCAGGCCGGTAGGTCAGGAGATGGTAGAAACATTTGCTGCTTGGTACACTAAAACTTCCTCTAAAGACTGGGCTTGGATTTTCTCCTCCTCTGACTATTAAAGGATGGTAAAAAGGCTAGAGCATGATCTTCCAGATAGTACAATGGGAAAACATTTCTGGTCTCACATAGCAAGGCAGAAGTACATTATCACACTGGGTAGACAGGCACACTCTCTGGAATGAAGGATCATTAGCAACACTTTTGCACAGATAGAAGAAAACCCATAAAAGTTAAAATATTTGCTAATCACAGAATTCTAGAAATTGATACTACCCATTTTTTCCATAGGAATTCCTGTATTTCGTTAAAATCTATACAATTAACCTTGGCATACCCATAAGACCACAAGAAAACAGATAAACACTTTTTCACAATATTTTCTGTTCATTTTTCTAAAAACGCATCTGCTTAATGAATGAGAAAAACATGTCTCCTCTTACCTCTATGTTCAAAGGAGGCTGGCATGATGGAAAGAACACATATTTGATTTTATTGTAGGCTTGATACAGGGCAAAAACAAGTGCTGTAGCCACAAGACAGACAGCAACCAGGGCAGTTACAAATGTTGCTAAAATGATCAGAGGTAATATTTTATCTAAAAAAAAAAAAAAAAAGCCACTTAATCTAGGTACTCATAAATGACAAAGATTAAAGAACAGATTATCTCCAAATCTGCTACAGTATTTATCATAAAATTTCACATTTCTACCATACTATACCCAGCCATGATGATCATTACAAACACGATGCCATTCCAGTATCTTAGATAACCTTATTAAAAATACAGCACAAAGTATTTTCCAATATATGAACACATGCATTTGCAGACAGGATCAGAACCAAGATCCAGTTATACGTCACTATTTGACAGCAGGACAAAAAGGCTGCAGACAGCTACCATGAAGCACCCGATGCATGTAAGTTTACTGCGCTCTTGCTTGTGTACAGGTTCTAACCCCAAGGAACATAATATGTAATTGATAGAGTACTCTCCTTTAAAAGGCAGAGATACAGGAGTAAGAATTCCCATGGGCTATTGAGTAACAATGGGCAATCACTACGGTGAAGTTGGCCCATAGTTATTTAGCCAGGAAATTATTAGAGTGCCTAGATTTGTAGGGTCTTCAGGGGCCCAAAAGCATCCAAATGTTTCTTGGACAGGGGAGGAACATCAATTGTAGGCTTCAGATGACTACAACACATCCAATAGAGAAAGGATCTTCCAGTGAGCATCTATTCCTTTCAGATGCTTATGTAAGAAATCAATCCTAAGGCTATTACAGTTATTTTTTACACTGGTAGACTAGGCACTAGCTCAGCACAAGATTTGACTTGGTCCATGCAGAAAGGTGAGATGAATTTCACTTCCGTGCTCAAACATGGATGGTGTCATCAACTTGATGATGCCAAGCTGAGTGGTGCAGTTGGTTAGCTTGAGGGGAGGGACACCATCTGGAGCGATCTGGACAGGCTTGAAGGTTGGGCCCATGTGAACCTCATGAAGTTCAACAAGGCCAAATACAAGGTCCTGCACATTGGTTGGGGCAATCCGCACTATCAATGTGGACTGGGGGATGAATGGATTGAGAGCAGCCCTGTGGAGGACTTGGGGCTATTAATCGATAGAGAACTGATATGAGCCAGCAGTGTGCGCTCACAGCCCAGACAGTCAACTGTATCCTGGGCTGCATCAAGAGAAGTGTGGCCAGCAGGTCGAGGGAGGGGATTCTCCCGCCCTCCTCTGCTCTTGTGAGACCCCACCTGCAGTGCTATGTCCAGCTCTGGGTCTTCCAGCACAGGACAGACATGGACCTGTTAAGAGTGGGTCCAGACGAGGGTCACAAAAATGGTCAAGGGGTTGGAACACCTCTCCTATGAAGAAAGGCTGAGAGAGTTGGGGTTGTTCAGCCTGGAGAAGAGAAAGCTCCAGGAAGACCTTATAGTGGCCTTTCAGTATTTAGAAGGGTCTTATAAGAAAGACAGAGATACTTTTTACCAAAGTCTGTAGTGACAGGACAAGGGGAAATGGTTTTAAATGGAAAGAGGGTAGATTTAGATTAGATGTAAGGAATAAATTCTTTCCTGTGAGGGTGGTGAGACACTGGCACAGGTTGCCCAGAGAAGCTGTGGCTGCCCCCTCCCTGGAAGGGTTCAAGGCCAGGTTGGACAGGGCTTGGAGTAACCTGGTCTGGTGGAAGGTGTCCTGCCCATGGTAGGGGGGTTGGAACTGGGTGATCTTTGGAGGTCCCTTCCAACCCAAATCATTCTAGAAGTCTATGGTCCTGCTTTCCTGTTTTAACCCAGGAACTATGGAAAACCTTCTAACAGGCTAGGCTTAGTTCCAGGACTTCAGGTTGGATCTTATGGTAGAAGGAGTTTACATGACAGAATCCAGAATTTGGTAGTAAAATACTGTAGTCAAAGAAACCTTTATCTCTAGAGTCATAAGCTACTCAGTGCTTAAGTTCAAAAGTCTTGCAAGCTTCCTTGTCCCCTCTACTCTTCTGTTTTGCAACATATTCTCTGGCACTATCTCTAACAAACAAACAAACTGAAGGGAGTTTGACCATACCAAAATTAATACATACCAGGAGACACTTTACAAATAATCAAGATGGGACAATCAGTTCTTTTTATCTCTATTTCCAGTCAGTATGAGTAACCAAAGAATTAAATATTTCCCCACTGTGATATAAGAATGTATGGGAAGTATAGGGCATGAGCTGTATGACTGCATCTCTCAATATAGAGTCTTGAATGTACTGCTTGGTCTTAACTAGGCTGATTATAATAGAAGGATATGGGGAAGACTAATAACTATTAAAATAGATTAAATAATCTCTCTTATTAAGGTAAAAAAGTAACATTTGTTTCTTTTCAGGCTTGATAAAGACCAAGCAACAAGGACTACAATATAAATGAATCCTGAGATCTTAAGATGTGAGAAAGTAGCATTACTATATTTTCTTAGCTTTAAGTCAGTTTGTATATTACATTTAGTAATTTTTCTAGTGTTACAGCCTGATAATGGGCCAAATTAAATTCAACAGATAAGTTGCTCTTATGTTCTGAGTGAGCGTAATCCATCTACAAATGTACACCCATTTTGCATAGAGGTGAGCTTTCAGCTATAATGAGTCTGATGATTTGTCTCCTCACACTTCAGCACAGGATTTTTTTTTAATTTAATTCATTCACAGAAGAATTAAGACAATTTCAAGAATAAAATATTCTTGAAAACATAGCATTTAGTGATTCCTTGCACCCTCCTAAAAATATCTTAGAAGTACTAGAAATTAAAGTTTGTCGGTCAACAAGTCATTGTACAGAACTAAGTTTAATTCACAGTCATTACAGTTATTAATCTGAGAATTTCTAAACCAAGTTGTGTCATGGATAACCAGAATGTAATTTTGATCAGGTCAGGACAGCAGCAGTTTATTAGTTTAGCTATAGGAGAGAACACAGAGCAATGAAGTGACAGACTGCTGACAGGGATCTCTGCCCAGCTAGGTGCTAACTCTGTGAGGCCATTAAGTCATGCTGCAAATATTTTTTAACTAGTGAGATCTGCAAAGGCCTACGAAGGGTTAACAATTTTACTTCCAGAGGTATAACAATTCCCAAGCTCTTCCTACCTCCAGGTGTTTTGATGCATTCCTCTTTGCTGTATGGACTGCTTTTGTTGTAAATTTCTGAGAATGCTTGTACTTTTACACAGTATAAAGTTGAGGGTGCTAGATCAGAGACTGTCCCTATTGTCTGTTTTATCTCTTTAATTTTTATTTTCTCCTGAAAAATAAAAATTGGAAGAATAAGATGCACATAAATAGTACAAGAGTCACTCAAATTGATTAGAGTTTTGGCCTCTGTTGAGGAAGAAATTCTGTAAGAAGTCAGACACTGTTCTGCACTTGAATTAAATAAAAGAAGCCACACATTCAGGAAATACTTAATTGGCAAGAACCAGCTACTTTCACCATACTGAAATTTTACAGTTCAAAGCTGTGTGCAAAATTAAACCTCTTCCTGATGCATTTTGTTTTCTTCTCTTCTTCCATGCATTTACACATATCTATTTACCAATTACTGTACAATATTTTACTATAAGAAGCATTTAAAGAATATGGAAAGATCCATTAAAATGTGAGCTAAAGCATGCAAGACTTCATTGTTTTATGATATATATATACACACCTATAAACCTGCAAATACAGAAGGGAAAGAATTTGAGGGGCCAGAAGCTACATTAATTAAGGCAGTGCACAGAGTCATACTGTAAGAAAGATGGCATCACAAGAACCCTATAACTTCTATTCAAAAGTGAGCCATTTGGCAGCTTGTACAAAACTATGTGCAGTTTTGCAAATCATTACATATAGCCACATCAATGGAAAAAGATTAAAATATCAATTACTTTGTGATAAAAGTAATCTTGGCCAGATTTTTAAAAGAACCTTTCAGGGAAAAAAAAAATTGATTGCACAATTGATACACCATATATGTGCCTCTTTTGAAAATAAGCTTCTTGAGGATAACTCAAACTCAGTATTTAAGTCATAACACATTTTATATACTGCTATAAGTATTTAACTAGTTCATACCTCGTTATCTGATGAATTCTTCCAATACAGAACCCGGTAAGACAAGTCATAATTGTCCCTCATGACCTCACTCTCAGATCCTCCTGGAGGAAAAATCTGGATATGGAGCAAAACATCACTGATGTCCACCTTTACAGCAGGAGGGCCGATTTCATCTTAAAACATTTAAATATAAAAAGTTAAAAATAAGACTAAAATAATACAAATAAAAATATTGCATAAAATACTGTAATTTAAATCTATGACAATTTTTAAGAAATGTGTACTTAAAAGTCTAACCTGACAACAGCTTTATTCAGAACCTTGAGTCCTGAGAAATATTTAAATTATTTTCCCTTTTCACATTAATATGTTGTTTCTGCAAGTTTCAGTGACATGAAATAGACAGTGGAATTAACTCCTCTGAAAGTGAAACTACTGAACACTTCTTAATCTCATCAGGATATGAGCTCTCTTTTTCACATATACCCTCTTTCACAGTTATAGTATAGTCAAAAAGTGAGAAGCGTTACAGTTTTTGTTTTGTTTTGTTGAATTATCTACCTAGATCACTTATCTTATTAAAGAATTATCTAATTACCAAGAGTTTGGACAAGGGAAAGCTGACATAAAATAGCTATTGATTCTATCTTCAGTATGAAAGGTAATGGACTATTACCCTTCATATTAGATAAACATTTCTTGACATTTATGATTGGTAACTTTTTTGAAATAAAACATTTAAGTAAGGCCACATTTCTCACAAAATCAAAGAAGTGTAATGAAGATAAAAAGTATTATAATTTCACTCTGGAGAGTGGTACATAGTTTTGACTTAGATGTCACTATCATTTAAGACTGCTTTTTCATTAAGGTCTTCAGGGTTGTATGTCAATGTACTACTGCTTTAGCACAAAATTCAGGGGTGCACAGTGGAGGGGTAGAGATGAGGAGATGAGAGTAGATGCACAGGAAAATAGAAGCAGTATATTCAAAAATTATTTGACCTTGGCATTGTTCTGAGATATCAAGAAGTGCTCCTTGTCAATGTCAAAAGTCAGACTAGCAATATTTCTAGTACAATCTCACACACTGCTTAAAGCAGTATACAGTGAGATTATAAAATGCCTTCTAATGCTTTGTGGTTGACTTTTGTAAAGCAAATTATATGATTCTAAATATAGTGAAATACTGGGCTGAATAGAGAAGACCATGGAAAAACTCCCGTTTAAATTGATGAGGCCAGGATTCTCAACACAGTTTATGTAGGGGAACTACGTATTCCATTTCACTGATCTAGCAAGTTTATTTTGGCAAATAATAGCAACAGGTACAAACTTGTTGAGAAATTAAAATTTAAGAAAACACATTTGCTTACTTGTTATCAGAGGATCTACTTTTACTTCGTCAGACAAACATGATCTATTATATTCACTCATGGCCTGTACACGGAAATAATATAATCCAGAAGTAGCAGTGACAATAGATGAGAGATTACATTGTGTATCAGTGATATTTTCACATCTGGGTATATTGAGCCACTTCACTGAATAATCACCAGGAAATTGCTTTAGATACCCACTGCAAGAGATATTTTGACAGTTTTTGATGTAAGGTTCTTGAACTCTGAAAAAAAAAAAAACAAACCCCAAACCCACCCCTGCATGTTCACTTGTGCTACATAGGTTTTTTTATTTTTGGAAGAATAGTCCCCTTAGAAATTTCTTGTATTTAAAATACTGTTTTTCCATTTATAACAAACAATGAAGTTAACTGGATCAGGAAATACAGATTATTGCTTTAGTCAAGCCTCAAGAGAAAAATTATATATTGGTTTTAGAAATTTAACTTAAACTCCAAATTAAGATTTTTTTTTTCCATATAGTTCTATTAAAATGATTATTTTTCTGTCATGCCAATGGAACTCCAAAAGAATGCTAGAGGTATCTTTCCTCTTCCTTTAGATACTGGCCACAGTATTTGTGCAACAAACGGGATATTAAGACACAGGTTTATAGACAGGATGTCTTTTTTTTCCATGTTGGGTTCTGACAAGAAGCAATCAAATATGCTGACAATTGAGATGTTGCACACCTGCATTTTTGCTCACTTCTAGTCACCTAATTTCTTCATATTCAAAAAGATATGAAGCAGTGCAAACTTCCTATCTTTTAAAAGTGTTACATACCATATATTTAGTAATCCATTCCACTAGGTATTTAACACTCTTAAAAGAAGCCTCGTACCCTGAAATTCTAGGGTATGATGTTATATGCAATCCTTTTAAAAGGCACACTGTCCAGACATGGTACCCAGTGTTTCAATGAATATATTAAGCCACTTTCACTAAGTATTTCACTTTAACTTATATTAATAATTTGCAAAATACAATGAATGCCATAACCTGTTTAAACAGAGACATGGAAATTTTTTAACTTACGTGAGATACTGTACATTGTAGCTCACATGTTTTTTATACTGATTATTCCAACGCAGATGAAATTTCATATTCAAAGCAAGAATTCTCACATTTGTTGCACAGAGTGGGTCACTCACTGCTCAGAACGAAGAAAAGAAACCCACAGTTACTGAAAAGCTTTATATTACATACAGCAAGTTTTCACTGAACAGGCATTTCTCCGGTATATAAATGGTCATGGTACACTTTCAATAATAAAAAAAAAAATATTTCTCTGCTTTCATTATAAAGATGGCAAATAAAATTCCTTGATATATACAGTATATTAAGCCTTCACTAAAAAAGAATCAGTTAAAAATCAATTAAGAAAAAAATAAGTATTGAAATGTTGATATTAGTAAAAATAAACTAGTTCAGCAATAGCATGGTGAGAAAAATGTCTAAAATACACATGCATAAACATGAAGTAATTTTGATGTACCACCCATTCAATCTAATGTCTAACCTTCTGCACTGCCACAGATAGTTTTTTTCCTGAAATAAACATTTAAAAGTACTTTAACTGACACCTGAACAGCACACAAAAGAATTTAAATTTAGACATGCAAAACAAGCAACTAGTGGCAAACTGCCACTAAGTCATTCTTCAGAATCTGTAATAATAAATTCACCAAGGCATGCATAAACCCAGTATTTTTTTTAGCTTAGCTCAACTTCATACGCATTAATTTAATGCCAAGTATACAAAAGGCTTTTGTTTTGCCTCCATACACATCCCCTTCCTCCTGATTCAAAGTCACAAATTCAAAAATATCCAGTTTTCCAAAATGAAGAAAGTAGTTTTTGCAATCTGAATTAGTGGACAGAATTTGCCTCAGAGCAAAAACCTTTTTATACTATTAAAAATCCAATACTGATAGGTTACATTTTATATTGATTTAAAACAGAAAATGTACATAACTGTCAAGATGGCTGTTACATCAAAATCAGTAAGAACTTGGCACTTCTGCATATTTCTATTGCTTTAGAACAACTTACTTTCCAGCAGGTTAAACTTGACTAACCATTGTAAGATAGAAAAATTTTACTCTGTACCTTTACGGGTAGTTTTTACACAATGAATGGGACTGAATAAGCCTTCTTTGAAGTCCAAAAGAATAGTTGCTTGAACTTTCAAACAGTAGGTAGTGCCTGGCACAAGATCATCAATTATGTCAGTGGGAAAAATACTTTGACTTCTGAACTGTAAGAAACAATTGCAAAGAGCATATGAAGATAACTGTTCTTCCTTATGAAGTGATTTTTTAAAGCATCTTTTTCCCTCCCAGGTTTCAGCCCATTTATATAATATGCCATCAAAAATGCTAAAATAGGGAATGAAGGACAATACATGAGCTGAATAAATGCTAAAGGATGTTTCCAACATAGCCACAGGACTGAGAGGAAGGATCGTGTTGTGCTCCTTTAACACATGAAAGCGGGGAGGGATTGCAGCACTGCTGTACATGTAGCATAGCTCACCACACAAATATGCAGGCACATACTCAAAAGAGAAATAGTGCATTTCCGTCCCTCAGTTCACTGAACAAACACTGCCCCTCCTGTTACCTCTCTGCTTTTGGTTTACCAGACTTTTATGGCTTGTACTTAACTTAAAGCTTTTTTTCCCTTTGATGTGTAATGGTTATAACTGTGTTCATTTGGAAGACCTAGTCATCTCGTCAATTCCTACCCTAATCTATCTGGCCCCCTCTCTCCTAAAAGGAGAAAAACCAGACAGACTGTTTCTACCTCGGTCTTTACAGAATAGCTATATCTGCTGTGCGAGATGCACATTACGGCTTTGAAACTAGTTCACATACAAGACCTCCAAAGAATCCCTAAAAAACCCCAACCTACTGTGTAAAAACAAAGAATTCAGTTAATGACACAGGACAGTGTACCGATAGCTGTACTCAAGCTAGATGATCTTGCTGAGACCAAGTTGGCCTCTTACCCCTCCCCTCCCCTAGATCTATGCCTTACTGTAAACGCTTTTTCCCACTGCCTTGAACTCTTTCCCCTCCCTGCTCCTGCTGCCTGAGGGTGGATCCTGCTCCAACACATCCAAGATGGTTTCACCTTCTTCCTCACGCACTGGAAGGTAGCTCCAGCATTTAACAGAAATACAAACTCTTATCACAAAATATTGAATACAATCCTCTAGTAAAAACAAAACCAAAAAAATCCAAGAAAACAGCCCCTCCCAACTTTTAAACTGCATAGCAACAGTTATACACAGTTACATAACTAAACAATTCCACTTTACATCATAAAGCGATTGAAGTACATCTCTGACAGTTATATTAAGGTTAAAAAGCAACAAAATAAAAAGTGATCATACTTCTGCATTTGATGAATTTTCCCAGATAACTAGATTATATTTAAAATTTAGAGGATTTATCCATATTTCTCCTTCTGGAGGAAAAACACTGATTTTTATGACTCCGTTTGTAGACTGCAACTCCATTCCTGGGGGACCGATCTGAGCTAGAAAGAAAAAAAGTAAAGAAAAAACACCAAAAATGTAATTTACATTAATAAACCCACAGTAACCACCTACAGGATCTTATTTTTAATTATTTTGAGGCAGTAACAAGATCACAGTAATTGCCTATAGCATCTTAGTTTTCAAGAATCTCAGGCAGTATCTAACAGAAATCTAACCTAACAAACAACCACCGTGACCTGGCTCTAAAAGAAATAAGTTAAAATGCAATATTACTATGAATGTTTTCCAGAATCTGCAGTGAAAATCAGTGTAAGTTATTCTAACACATGCAAGGTAAGAAACCTAGCTCAAAGAAATCAATCCAACATTGAGGGAAGGCTTCAGTACCATACTGTAACGTAACTACTGAAAAGTCACAAGGTCAGAAGAAAACTTCCAGAACAGTCCACTGTCAAAAAAGGATTTTTCTGAAATCTAGAAATACAGAGTGTCAGAAAATTCTGTCAGAAAAACAGCATCACCGAGAATACTTTCCCCTTTCCACAAGAGTCATAACATTCCATGACCTGCAAAGACCTTGTGTTACATTAAGGTTGAGAAAACCACTAGCTCAAGTTGTTATGAGCAATGGAAACCACACACATTTTTTCCACAGTAATGTGCTGAAGGACATTTAACTGAAAATATTACAGTATATATGGAGCTCATACCTATCCAATACGGAATCATTTCAAAAACACTAGACCATGGAGACACTTCTTCCCTTCTTTCAGTCCTTATACGCACATGATGTGTATCATAGTATTTGGTTATTGCTGAGGAAAAGTCACATTCCGTCAGAGTAACTTTTTGACAACCAGGCAACTCTTTCCATTCTGCTTTACTTGTCTCAGAATCTTCAAACCTGTAAGACAGATAACACCCCAAAAATAAAACCAATACACAGTTTAAGTCTTGAGATTCTTTTTACTTTTCTTCTTAATGCTAATAAATGTCACACCATTTAATGCTGTTTTATCACCAGCACTAGTGTAACCACTGTTATCTACTTAGTTACTCTGGAATTCATATCCCCATTTAATTAATGAATTTAATCTCTTAATTTATTAGTTTAGCCTTATTACCAAAGGTTAACTATCAGTCTGCAAAGTCTGATACCAGTTGGCTTTACTGACCAAGTAAACACAGTGTGAGGAAACAGCATCAAAGAACTGTCAAAATCCAGAATTATATTCTTAGTATATGGTCCTAGTCTGGCAATGATTTTATAATTCATTGGAAGAAATTTAGAAGTGTTGATGGAAATAAGTGTTTAAAAGAGCATAAAAGCAGCAACACTCCCCCCTCCACCCCTCCCAACATTAGCAAGGAATATAGATTAGGGGAAAAGAAAAACACAAAGGAGAAAACTGGAGTTCAGGAATAAGTGTTGGAATAATTAGCTTTACAGAAGCTATTTTTATTGCAAGTTAAGAGACATCCATACCTTATTTAAGAAAGAGACATTTCAAACAGACATGAAAAAATGTCCTGACCCCCCGAAAAAAAAAGAGGCAGAGTCCTGAAGCAGTAATTATCTTCAACTCCCACCTTATTTTTCAGACCACTATTACATTTTAAAAATACGACTATTTTCAAAGCAACTGCTTCTCGTCTCTACACTGAAGAAGGTGAGCTGTTTTTTAAAAAAAATTCAAATCATACACTGGAAAATCCTAAAATCATAAATTTCTTAAGTGATTTTATCTTAGAAGTGTTTTTTAATATTTACTTGTCTGGAAAGTGACACAAAATACCAAACACATATCTATATGCATGCATAAGTATTGGTATATGAAACAACTGAAGAAAGCCAATTGAAGAATTGTTTCATCTAGTGATTAAAATTTTCAGATGAGAAATCTGGATTCATAAACACTGAGAATTTATTCAAAAGCTACACCAAAAATTCTCTCAAATTCTCTTTGTGTGTGTGGCCACAATGTAGCTTAATTAAAAAATAAATTAAAGAATTCTATCATTAAAGAATAAATAAATCTAAAAGCTACATTTCTAAGTGTACTGGTTAACCTTATCAAAGAACTACTCGAGTATTAAGCATTACTAGCAAGCATGGCATTTATAACACGTTGCTATCAGTGAAGTATCTAATTTTACATATGAATTAGACAAACAAAGGACAATACTTGGATTCAACTTCAAGATTTAAATTTTCCCAGACTATACTTTCTGGATTTCAAAAAGTCTCTAGAAATTTTACATGGCAGTATCAAGAACTATAGCAATTAATATGTTCTTCTACACAAATAAGCGTAAATATTTCTGGCTCAGAATAAAGTTAATACTTACCACCGGAATTCTGCTGAAAATGTCACATTGGTATCCTTCCCAGTGTAGTTCCACCTTAGAGTAAAATTTGAATTTACAACATAGACCTGAATATCCTCTGGACTCTTCAGATTAGTTTGGCCTACAAGAAAGTAACAAAGGTATATGAAGACTGGATATATAACTTGTACCTAACAACTTATTTTTGTTAGAAAAGTAGAGAGTTATGATGAAATGAAATCACAATAAACATGAGTTAAGAAAACCCCATGCTACTCAATCAGCACTTCAATATATAACTCAGGATCTGTGCATCAGGTAGCTCCTCTGCCTATTTGACTATGTAGCTCTTTCCTCTGCGCTTAAAGTCTTTCTCCCCACACTCCTTTAAAAAAAGCAAGCACAGTTGTAACATTCAAGGCCTGTGTTCACTGTCATGGGTTGTTGATGCAGTCTGAATGCATTTAAACCAGTGTTTTATTGGTTGGATCTAACATCTGGATCTCAGCTGCAAAGTGCTATGGATTGACCTAATCATGTCATTTTACAGTTGCAGAACAGATTGAGCGTAGCAGATTTGTGCCATATCACGTGTTACTGCCATAAATTCAATGTATTGAACATAAATCCCTTTCAGTGAGGCTTCATCACCTGGCAGATCTTGTATCGTGCTCATGGTAATCCTGTGTTTTCTTTTATAGAAAGAACAGTGCACAAAATGACTTATGAAGGGCAAGGGCCAAGTTTCAGGACACTTTCCCCTCAAGGGAAAGATCAGACCATGAGAAGAAAAGGCTTAACAGACAGATTGCCAACAGGAGGGAAGCATGCACACTGAAATCATCTGCAAGATAGCACTCTCTCCTCTTCATTTTCCACCTTTCAAAAATAATTATTAAAAAAAAAAACAAACAAAAAACACCCCAACTGTCTCATAATTACCTTATATTTCACTTCCTAAAGAAGACTTCTTTACCATTAACTTTGAGATATGCAGAATCCTACGTGTCCTATTTGGTATATAATTCAGTATCAGAGGACAGATGAGAGTAACAATGCTGTAGGAGAAGAAATTATTCTGGTACTTATGAAAATTTAAATCTATCTAGCTACTTATAAGATACATTTTGCTTTGAATTATTTCACACCGGTCTACGGCACTGCTTCAAAGCAGTGAGGCTAAAAAGTTACAATAAGGGCTGAAAGTTTGGACTGAAAGTTTTATAGTACTAGAAGCTAAACCAGACTGTGGCTTACAGAGCAAAGGGAAACAGTGTGAAGGCACAAGGAACATGCATAAACTGAGGACACCTCAGGCAGAAGTCATTAAAAATATACCAAAACCACCAACTAAGCAGCCATATCCAGATTTACAAAGCTTAAACTTCACCTACATCATTCTGCCTGGCATTCTATACTAGGTATCTTTGACAACCCAGGCTATGTACAATTTAGGCAGCACATACTTCTGTCCTCTGACTAAGAATGCACTTTCAACTTCTAACATGTCAGGGGGAAAAAAAAAAAAATCAACAAAATAATAATAAAAAAAAAATCACCGCGTACCTCTCTGACTTGAATTTCTATTTTAACCAGTTGTGTGTTACACTATTAATCACTTCCCAATGGCTACAACTTCTAAAACTACGTTAGTAACCATCACTCTGAAATTGCTTTTTGATTCAGCCTAATATTTGATTACATTAGGAAGAAATCAGAACAAATACATCCTATTTCACCTGAGCAATCAAAGTCTGCTTGCACAGCTAAAGGGTTATCCTGAATTTGATTTTAAGGGTGGCTCCTCATCGCAAAAACTATTTTATATTTTATATGATGACCAAGTTCTCTTTATAAAAAGGAAATGTGTGTGGAAAAGCAATCTATCAGCTGAAGTCTGAAAAATCCTTTTGGAGAATAGAGTTAAAGTGGTATCCACAGACTAATGACTTTTGCATATAACTCCTGAAAGCACAAAACTTGACAGGAAAATGATTCAATAAAACCTTGTGGATCTAACCATGAAATTTATTTCCACAAGGTATGTATTTGTTACTCTCCTAAGCTGACAGACTAAGATAAGGCAAGAGAATGCCAAACTACATTTGATCATCAGAAAATAAGAAAACAAAGGAAGTAACTGATTTTTTTCTCAAGTATTTATTCAACAGATGGCTACACTTCAGCCAAAAAGCTTATGACAACAAAGGCAGTTATTTTGGATGTTGGCAAACAATAGCAATTTTGAATACTTATATCCCTTCACAAAGAAAATACTCACTTAATGGGAAAAAAATATTTTCACTTTATTTGAGGATGTTTGCATTAAATTTAAGAATCAAAATGCACGGAACAAAAAAGTCCCATTAGCTTTTAACAATAATTTTTTAAAAAGCACAACTCTGCTATTAGTATACAAAGTGTAACCTGTCAGAGCCACCTGAAACAAAAAATAGTAATTTGTTTGAAGAATACCACCACTCATGGTAACTGATAGATTAAATGTTATATTCTTACTTGGTAGAATCCATTGCTTTATGAACCAATGGAAGATTACTTAAGTGTTGTGATACAGTATAACACTTTCAATTTCAGATTTAAAGAAACATCAACAAATTGACATCTTTCACATCTAAAGAGCAGGGTGGTGCTTTTCCCTGTAAATACCCATATTCGTGTATTTGCAGACTTAAAAAGAATAACATTCATAGACTAAATCTGCTTAAAAATAAACAGTATGACAGAAAACCTGTTTCAAACCACCTTTTCCAAATGTAATTCAACTGCTGACATTTGAACAGCCTCCTAAAGCAGAAAAAAAGCGAGATACAGTTTTCTCTATTCTCTAGTAGAACATATACCGGGTTTAAAAACCTGCCGTGGCAGTACTAAACAGAAGTCTTTACAACAGGAAATTCCCAAGTTAGATTCTTTACCCTGAACAACACAGAACCTTGGAGTAAACCATAAGAAGATAGGATTAGGTAACGCGGTATTAGCCAAGAACCACACTGCACCTACAGAGTGCCAATGCTGATAAAAACTGATACTATAAGTTAAGACTATTCTTTTTGTTTGCTTTGGGTAGAAAATCAAATATTCACTGCACTTCCTGAATATTTTTTCCACATTTTCAAATCCTTATCATGTACACAGCATGAAGCTTTACCATAATTCTTACTAGACCTCTCCATTTGAAGTAGATAAGAAAAAGGAAGTCTGAAAGCAGAAACAAAAACATTTCAAGGGTCATGTTCTAATCAGATGTACTTTCTCCCCAAGTTACAAAAATCATGCTGATGTAAGACATACAACTAGTAAAACACTAGTTTAAAACGAACTAGGCCAGCTTTTTCCAAAGCTGGCAAGTATTACAGCAAATAATATCCTCCCTCTGGATACAAACAATATTGTGAAAATATAGCTCTGGATTCTTACATGTGGAAGAAGATACAGTATTCCAGACATGGAATAAGAGCACACACAGAGAATTAGAAGGGATTTATTCCAGAATATCTTTGGTCAAAGGCCCAAAAGATGACCATCACAAGTCTTGGATTTGACTGCCTCTTTCTCTGAGAACTTCCTCACGAGCCTTGAACAAGGTCAGACTCCATCTTGACATTTACTTTTTTAATCCTCCTTATAAACTGCTGAAACTAGGCATTAAGAGCTGTTTTCAGCTGCACATGATAGCCTTTACAGAACTTTAACAAACAGAAACATGGTATTCAGGGACATCACCTGTGAAATTAACTTAAAATCCACTGTAGGGTTAAAAGTAAACTGTACCAATTACTCAGGGAAAATCCTATAGTTTTCAGGGAATTTTCAGAAAGTTTTTCAGTGTTACATTCAACAATAATGTACGAGTGCGAGCACCTGGCAGTCAGTGCTCAGCAATAATCAAAAAGGGGAAAAAAAAAGTTAGAAATTGATAGCGTATTAATAGAGTAAATCAGAAAGCTTAATGTAATTATATAAATTCATCATAGACTTATCTTCAATACCATCTGCAGCTCTAGAGTGTCCACTCTCATAAGGAGATAGCAGAATAAGGCAGAGAAGGGTGACAAGGACAATCCATGGAACAGCTTCTGTCCTGGGAAGAATCAGACTATGATTCTTCAGCCTGAAAAGAAGACTGAGAGGAAGATATGACAGATCTACAGAAACCTAATGCGTGGCATGGGGAACTCAAGCGACAAAAGATTGTTTGCTGTCTTAACACAAAGCCAGAAGCATCAAGACAATCATCGCCCTGCTCTAAGCAAACAAATGAAATTGCTGCTTCACTGAACGCTTTGTTCATCTGTGGAATTCCTTGCCCTAAGACTCTGTGAATGCTCAACTCTTACCTGACTTATGAACTCAAATACAAAGTCTCAACACTAAAGATTGCTGTAACACTGTGTTGTAAAGTGTCACTGCGTACTTGACTTTTTTAGTGCTTTCCTACTCCACTACCAACCACTGGTGTTGATGAACACTGGACTAGACAGCCTTCTGGCTTCATCTGGTATAATGCATAACAGCAAAAAAAAAAAAAAAAAAAAAATAATCAAAAAACCCACAACACTCTTTGTATATCTATCTCGAGCTTGATGAGGGACTATCCTCCTTGCCCTGGTCAAAATCAGAGATTATTTCTTCAGAAGAATCTCCCAGTCCTGACAGACAACCCTGATAATTCAAACTGTCTTCACCAGGAAATCTAATTTCTTAGCCAAATTCAAATACCTATTTATTGAGGGTTCCAGGTCGCAATTATGCCCTTTCATCTATTCACTCCTTCTCCTGTTGCAGGTATAAAGAGGGATGTAATCAGAGTGCCAACTACAATTTTATCCTCTGAGGAATGTCTTTGGTTGAAATTTGTTAGATGTTAATGATCATCAGTTTGTGTTTTAACACTTCCTAATTACCCATGTGCTGATGCTGCAATATATTGGAAGCACAGAAACGGAGCTGGAAGAAACCTTGCAAGATCACCTATCTTACACATTGGAAGAGGAGGTGGCCAATTCTATATACATCATCGGATGTTTGCATAGCGAAGTCCTATGGTTTCCACCATTGCATAATTAATTTTTACAGGCCTCAAATATCTTGAAATATTTTGCTATCCTTACCATTAGAGGTTAGGGAAAGCTTTCTGTAAAGCAAAAGCAAAGAACTCCCAAATCAGATTTCCTAGTAGATTCCACTGGAGATCTGGAACTTTGCAGAACAGATCCAAGTTTCCTTACAGCAAGAACACTTGCTTAGTTGTTGTTCATAGTCTACAGACAACAAAGAGTTTACAGACTGCAAAACCCAGAGTCTAACCTACATCTCTGCTAAACACATTTAACCCATGTATGTTTTGTCTGTGCATATTAAAGCACACTATTCTTTATATCAGATGTATTTGAAAACTATGATAAATGTGACAAACGATGAACAAAAAACTGAATGGCAGTAATAATTCTTTTAGTTTTCCTTTTAAGCCAAATTTTCTAGCTTTCTGAATGACTTTTTTTGTTGTCTTTTGTATTCCTTCCAAATGGTTGAACTTGCCTGAAAAAGTATACTTCAAAAAAAAAAAAAATCACAATACTACAGCTGAGATTAATAAACAGAAGTCTACCTTATAAAACACATGAGCTAACCTTTTCCTTCTCATAAGCACTGCTGTGCTGCTGTGCCCCAGTACTTTTGGGGTTTTCTACAGCATAGCACTTAAACTTCTACACATAAATTACAAGGCATTGTAATGTTGCCTTTTTTTTTTCTTTTTTTTTTTTTTTCCTCCAGAACTGATATTTAAATCATCCTTTGTCATCCTTCATTTGCTTAAGTAGACAGCCCTACACATGTCCTTTTTCAATACCACTGTACTTTTTTCTTAAGTATTTCTCCAGTCAGGATAATTCTTGATTCTATGCCTGCTTTCCAAAACAAATTGGGAGCTCCTCCCACTTAGTTATAAGTTGATTTAATAAGCTTACACTCATCACACAGATGATGAGCAGGTCCCCACTTGATACATCCTTACCTCTTGACAGTGAACTGTAAAAAATGTTGATAAGCTGTAAAAATCATACTGAAGCAGTTCAACACAGATTACCTTTTTCCAGTATGATTAAGAGATTAGTATCCCATACAGATTCAAAAGCAATACTAAGCCAAAATGCATGCAATCAGAGCTTCTCTAGCCACACAGTCTTTTATTTTAGAATAGCAGAAATTCAGGTTGATTTAATGTGACATTTGTTCTCAATACCACAGACATGCATAGGTGATGCACTCATCCATCCTTTCACATAATACTCCCTATTTCTAAGAAGTGTTTTGTGTTTGCTTCCCTAAATTAATTTCTTAAATCTCAGTGAACAGCAATACAGGAATGAAGGAGTAAACTCAGCTATGTTTAATTACCAGCGAAATGTCATGATTTAGCTAGAAACCAGATATGCAAAGTAACATCCAAAAAATCAAGACTGGTTTATTTTACTATTGATTAAAATCCAGACAGTTAAAATTTAATCATATTTCTTCATTTAAAGCATAATGACACTTTGGTGCTGAGAACATTATAAGAGGTTAGACTTTTATGTAAAGAAGAGATTAAAGACAAGAAGAGCTTTTAGCACAATTGCCTACCTTCTCCTATCAAATTTTAATAAACGAAAATAAATACAAAACTGTTCTAATAAATATCACTAATTTAAAATATTTTCATTAGTATTTTCAATAAATGCTGGTTGAAAATGATAACGATTTGATAACATTACAGAGTAACAAAAGCCATTCAACAATAGAAGTAGCCTTAGCAAGATGGAAGTATATTCCCTCAGGAGACAGTGAAAGGGAAATCCCATTTAGAATACATAATGGTTTGCTGCTTATCGCATTAGGTATGTGGTGGAAACAGTGGAAACTTTAAGTCAAACTTTCAACACAGGAAGGAAAGGAGACATGTTACATGTGATATATATTAAAAAAAAAAAGAGACACAATCAAACACACACCAAAAATGACCCAAATGTCACTGGTTCCATGGACAGAAAGGTGCTCTAGAGGACCAGGGAGAACTGCTACTGCAAGAGGTTTTATACAGGAAAAGCAGAGAGAAACTGCTGTTTTTGACAAGGCAGAAGGTGAAAGGTCACTGCAGCAGCACAATTACTTCTAACTGTGGAAGCAGTGTGTGGTATGTTAGCTGTTTGCTATGATATGTGTGGGTTAATCAAAGTAGCTATATGTATCAATGCTTCCAATTTGGGGACAGGATTTAGGGCTGATGCATGAAGAATTCACCTACTAACCAAATGGCTGAAAGAAAATCAAGAAAGAAAAGAGGTCCCAGAGCTGCTTCCCTGCCTGAATGCAAAGTGTGGACCCTTGAAAACAGGCTCTCTCTCTCTAGCCTTCTTCGGGGTATGCCAAACTAGAGCAATACAGTTTTATAGAGCATTCAAGAGTTTAAGTGGCATCAGAAGCAGCATGTGCACACTAGTCTGTGGCTATAGTATTTCCACTATGTAAACTAGCTTAGCCCATGTACTCTCTGTTGCATGTCACCATGTCCTGTAAATACACAGGAAGGTAATTTACAGCTTATTGGGGCTGCACAATACTTACCTCTTGAAAAAAGGTTTTGTGCAACAGTTGATTCTTGATGCTTAAGGATGTAAGAAGAGGCACATACTGTCAGATGAAATCCTCATCCTGCAACTTGACATCTCTCGTTTCCCTATTTACACCTCAGGCTCTGGCAGGCTACCCTGAGGTGCCTTTCAAGCGTATCAATATGATTCAAAACCCTGTCTGCCCCGCGCTTCAGCTTCAGCCTCGAGGATTCGGAGATGGCAGCAAAGCCTGAGGCAGGCGAGACGAAGCCAGCTACCCAGCTCCAGCAGAAAGCCCAAGGCAGCCGACGGAAACCGAGCCCCGCTTACCCACGCACACGCACCTACCCAGACCCAAGGCCTGGCCGCCTTTGCATCCCCTCAGCGGCGCCCACGCCGCCGGCTCCGGGGCCGCGTCCCCCCTCACAGCGCCGCAGGCACAGCACGAGCCGCCACCCGCTCCCCCGAGAACGAGCGCGACACCGGCCGCCGCGCCGCTCCCGTTCCCCGGGACCCACCTGCGCAGCGTAAGGGCAGCGCGGCCAGGAGGCAGGACACCAACGACGCCGCCGCCGCCGCCATCATCATCATCGCCGCCGCTCCGCCACCCGCCCGCCCCGCCGCACCATCAGCACCTTCCCCATTACCGGAAGCCCCGAGCGGCTGCGCATGCGCGGGCGGCCGGGCGTGGGCGGGGCGGAAGAGGGCGGCGGCCTCGCAGTGAGTCGGGCCCGGAGGTGCCGGCGCCGGCGAGGCCGAGCCCCGGTGCGCGGGCGGGAGCGGCCCTGGCCTGCCGGGTGGGTGTGAGGGCCCGTCCCCCTCAGGGCGGGGGAAGTCGCTTTCGCTGCGCTAGGCGCAGCTCGGCGTTCTTATCGGCGCGCGGCAGCCGCTGCGTTGCCGGCTGCGGACCAATATTAACTTTGCGGTCGGTGTCGGCTGTCGGCCTGTTGCTGACGGGGCGGGTGCTCGGTGCTCTGGCTCTTGCAGGGCCGGTAGGACTGCTGCCCTGCGGGGCAGGGGATCGTGGTTGTGCAAGCCTCACGCGCCCTCTTCGCAGCGATCGCGTTTTCCTCCCTTCTGCCCTTGCTGTGTGGTCACCGCTATTCCGTCCCAGCCTGTAAGTGTCAATAAAGGCCATTCACACAGATTACAGACAGAAATGACCCATTCTGTTTACTCAAAAATCAAGAAACCACAAGATGCAGTGAGTCACAGGGAACGTAATTCCTCTCCTTCAATAGTTGGGGCACTTGCCTGGGGAGGGGGAGGTGTGTGCTGCCTGCCCCGGTTCTTGGATGTTTGAACGAATGCTACAGTGAGTATGGAATGCGGCGTGCATGTTGCAGTCCCTGAAGTGGGGTTTGGACCCAACTCGCTTTTTGCAGTCAAGCTATGGTTTTATGACTAAAAAAAGCTCATCATCTCTTTTTCTGTTTCATATTTTTCATTAGATTGCCCAGCTGCAGTGGTTGGAAGGGTAGAAGTCAGGGATTACCTTTCACTTCCTACCCCTTCAAAGCAACAAACTCCTAAGTGGTCATGGCCATGTATTCAGACATGAGGATTTGAAACTCTGGTCTATGCTCTCAACATCCTAAGCGTTATAAACATTAAATTTTTTGTTGCTTAAGGAGATGGCATTTCAATTATTTCCTTTTCTGAGGTGGTCATCAACAGGTAACCACCACGTCAGTTTTGCTTGTTAAAAGCCAGTACCATAAGTATCTAACTGCTTATGAAATGCAGATGTTAATGATTCCTGTAAACGAATGTATATGCAGCATTAGCCAACTCAGGTATGTAAAAACTGCAAACCTGTCCTGTCAAAAGGACTGATGATTGAGAAGAGGCTGGTACCATTACAGTCAGGGCTGTGAACAAGAGATGATGGGTAAGCATGTCCTTTGAAACACACAGTGTCTAATGTTATCCAGTGTGCTACAGCTGCCTGTACCTAGCACAGTTTCTTTAAAGAAAAAATAGTTTATGGAGTGTTTAAACAATCAATGTAATTTTAGTTTCTGGTTTCTATTATTAATACACTTGGATCAATTAATATGCAATGCAATAAATATGCATAAGTGTATTTATTTTGTAACAGAACTGAGTGAATAATAGGCTATTAACTGCCACTCAGTCTGGGCCATCATATCTATCATGATCATCATATGATGTCGTTAATAGACAATGAGGAGAAAGCATGTTGTGATGAAAGTAACAAAGTAGGACATAGTCTGTGAAATATTGTCAGCTTCACCACAACTTCCTGTGTGATTTTATGTAAACTGGCTGCTCTTTAAGACAAGACTGTTATTTATCCTTTTTCTGAAGCTGTAAAAAAGAGAAGTCAATCTATGATTATTGCTGAAGTACCTTTTAAATATTAACAAGAGGATTTCAAAGCAACATTTAGCATAGCTATTATACTGTCAGTGCTCTGATAAATGGAGTGAAATGACAACCTTTTATTAGCTCATAAATATTAGAAATGCCATTTTCAAGAGACAAGTCTTTCCAGTGGGAGTCATGTTCCTGTTAGTCCCTTGTGAACAATTCTTTGGTAATTTTCTAATATGGTTCTTCACTGGCCACACTCCTAACATCTAGGGCTCTCCAGGTTGGCAGTCTCCTTGAGATGGGACCCAAATGACATGTTGTTATGTCCACAGTGTTAGCGGCTGACACCAAACAGGCCTTCATTTTGTGCATTGCTGATGCTGTGCTTCTCCAGCTGAGGAAGATGCCCAACATGAGGCCAAACAGAGCCTATACTGGACAGCTCTTTCCCATCATAAGATGGGTATTATTGCGTATGAGCAGCAAACTGGTCCCACAAGGGTCACTCTGCCCTTTCCTAGGGCTGCCAGATTTGCTTCCTGTATGTGTGTCAACCATCTATGCAACATATGCACATGAGGCTCATTGTTCCCTGGAAGCATCTTATTTTCTGATGCACACGCACTTGCAGGAATGCTTACACAGACACCTGCAAGAAGTGTGCTGCTTCTGTGCCTGCAGCCTGTTGCTGCAGAGATCTGAGCAGCACCTGGAAGAAGGCTGAGTAGGAGCAGGCTGCTGCTATCAGAGTGGTTTGCATGATATCACTAATGTGAACCACTTCCCACACGCTCTTTAAACCAAGGTAGGGAGCCCCAGGCTACAGGAGGTGGTGGCAGCACTTGCCACATGATGGGAGGAAGACTTTGGACAACTGAAAATTTTGGTGGCTGAGAATATGTGTCTGCCAGCTCTTGGCTGGCACAGTCATGAAGTACTAAAAGCTAAGAAATGTACTTGGTACATTTTTTTCCAGTCTTAGTAGGAGGAAAACTATACCCTTTAAAGTTAGGAGCTGGCTGCAGGAATTATGCAAAACGTGTTCTTGCAAGATATAAGGTACTGTGATGCTAAAATGATGAGTTTGGTAAAAACATCTATAAGGCAGAGCTGATCATGGCAAAGTCTGCTCAGCTATGAAAGCCTTGCCAGAAAAAAAAAAAAAAATGCAGAATTAGGAGCGAGCCATTACTGAAAGAAGTGATGCATTACAGTTCAGCCTGTAGAAGGTAAATGCATGGATATAACATGATGTTTTGGGGATATAGTGTTGCAGGGCATTTCTGACCTTGAGTCTGATTTATTCCATGATAAGTGGTTATCTTGTGCTCAGATAGTTTAGAGGGAAACATTTTTGTGGCAAGTTATGTATGTAAACCACACTTCACCATAATCATTCTGAGGTCTAGATCATGAACTACAACTAGCTTACTGATGGGAGAAATATTTAGTAACCTACTAAATATACCATAGAGTTTACAATTTATGTTCTGATAAGTCTGAATGCAACTTTCTCACTGATACTATAGAAGAAAGAAACAGAAACTTGTGGTGATACAATCTGTTAGAAGACAAGCTCTATCTCCACTACACAGGCAACCAAACAGAAGGGAGGACAAGGTATGCACCTGTGGTCATCAGTGCCAGTATTAAAACATACATGTGGTGAAGGAAACAAAGCCATGCAGGTTCTGCTGAATTTATTTCATTTGGCTGACAGACAAAGGAGAAATAATTTGATTGTTTCTTCTCATGTCAATTCTGGAACAAGATAAAAGAAGCAAATACAGTATTTCATCTTGTTTGAAAAGCGTAGAAACATAGGTTCAGGAAGGAAGGACCTTAGGGAGTCTAGTGGTTCATTGTGCAGCCCCAAGGCAGGATCAGTTGTATTTACCCCCTTCCTAATTCACATTTGGTTTTAGGTTTTTTTGGTTGGCTGGAATTGTCGTTGTTTGATTTTTTTTTTTTTTTTTAAATTTCTCAGGCAATCTCTCCTATGCTTTTTCTGTTTCCATCATTAGAAAACTTTTCCTCATGTCTGTCTTGTTGCAGTCTTGTAACTGCTTTCATGTCTGTCACAGCCTGTTAGCACAGATTATTCATTTCCTGTTTTCAGAAGCCTTTCACATTTTTGAAGACTGACATTATGTTGCCATCAGTTTTCCTTTTGCCAGACCACATAAAACCACATTCCTTCAGAAAGCATGTTTTTGTCTTCCTCCTGACTTTTCCCAGCACTGGATATAGCTCTCCACATGGCCTTACTAGTGCTGAATAGCTGGAAGAATTGTTTTACATGTTTCCTGGACTACAGTGAGGTCTGTGTATTCTGTATTGCATTTGCCTCTTCCTCAAAAGTGAGACATCAACTCATTTATAATTTATGACCCACTGTAAGCCCCACGTTTGTCTCCTTTTGCCTAGACCAGTTTTCCTTAAATTGTCTGTGACAGTATCTTGTAAGATACTATGAAAAAACTTTACTAAAGTCAAAATAAAACCTATCACTTCTGCCTTGTGCACAAAGTTCACTGAAAGGAATTAGATCAAATTTTTGGTAATGCAATGATATTCTGCAGCTGAGTGATAGTTTTTCTACATAGTTTTGGATGCTAAAAACATTACAAATTAGAAACCTCACCTGGTTCTTTCCCAGCACTGTGTTTGAACATTTGGGCTCTATTTCTACATTTCTTGGACAAAGTGTTGTTGGACTGCTGTGCTCACATGAGAGTAGGTGTCTTCCCTCACTTCCAAATCGCATGGCAGGAACTATAGCAAGCCTATAGTTGAGAAATTTTCCACAAGTAAACTCTTTCGTCAATGCAAACAGGTATGTATGTATACAATGCAAATTCTTCTTTCATACGTTACAAGCAATCTGCTTTTGAAACTTTAATCTCATTGAGACCGGGGTATTTCACATCAGGGAAAGCTACATAATAACAGTTCAAGTTTTCCAAGATATTTCAATATCCCTTCTCATTCTAATTTGCACTTCGATCTGATCAACTGCTCTGTGGCTTTTATTGTGGTAAATATCCAATGATAGGGTGTTACATCCCTGGTTTCTGATACTGGTTTCTGCATCTTTGCAGGTTTATACCATAGTGGGAAATTCTCTCTGAATTTTGCTGGTATAGTCCAGAACACAGTTATAATTTCAGATGAGAACGGATCAGGTAACTTAAGCTTTTCAGGTAGTGTTTCTCCTCTACCTTGCAATCCCCACCTCCTTTTCTTCTGCAGCTTCTTTAGGGGTAAAGAATTCCAGGTGTCCAGTTACAGGTTTCAGCCACCAACAGAGGAGCAAGTGAGTCCACTGTGGTAAAGGAGGACAATGCCTAACACCAGTCTTAATCTTTTTACTACTTGCTCTAGTAAACTGCCTTTTTAATTTAGTAAATATGTGAACGAGGTCTTGCTTCCAGAGTTGTGAGACTGTCTCTTGCTGTATGAGACTCAGAAGGTCCCAGTCCTCGCTTTTGCAAGAGGCTCCAGTGCAAAGACAAGAGCTAAAAAGTCATTTGTTTCTCACAGCTGCTCCCATATTGGTGCTGAGATGACATACCCTTTGTCTGCTCTGTGCACCCTTCTGGTATCACCTTTGCTATATTCTTGACATACTGCGCTGCAGGCAGCGTTTTATAATTTTTCAGAAAGGAGCAGGATACAATGAGCAAGGCCGGGCTCAGAGCTGGAATAACAAAGGTGGTAGTGCTACACCAATGGACTTCATTATTAAGAGTATTTCAGATGATATTTCCCTCGTTACTATTTTATTCTCACACTCACGAA